TTTACATAATACCAGCACCAACACACAGGTATTGCCTTTGATATTGCGATACGGATTACCGGGGCGTGAAGCCTAGTCTTTGCTCGGCTTAACGAGATTCTACCTACATATATACCTCGTACATCCTATAGATAATGATTTCTAGTAGCGTTGTCCTCGAAACCTATATCTCGACAACAAATTGAAAAAAAAGGAGACAAAAGATGAGAGAGTAAATTGATTACAAAAATAAACAAATTAAAAGTAACTATTAAGTAGAATATATACAGAAAAATAGGTAGATAGCTTTAATAGCGAAAAAGCTGAAATACCAAGTCATCATGTGACGCCCGGAAAGGAAGTTCTGGGAATTAAGACGCTATGAGAAATAAAATTATGTCGGCTATTATGTAATTTTATAATATTAAGAAATTACATAATATAAGCTATTATGTAATTTCTCTGCCTCATCTCATTTCAACCAAAACAGGTCTTACGAAGCAAGTAGGAAAGTAAAAGTGGGTACGTAGGTACGCAGACGAAAACAGTTACTGCATACATACATATACATCGATACATACTACCTCAGAAGGATAATATTTGCATCTCTTCTTATCATAAATCATCGTCTATTAAAGATATTGTATGGCATAAAGCATCGTAAATATCAACATTAAACGTTGAAATCATTTATGAGGGCTGCAACTTTGAAATTTCCTCTCGGTTTTACGGTAGGCGTTTTAGCAAAGCCCATGAAGTATTACACGCCATATTTTATAACAAAAGGCGCGATCTGCACTCATATGTTTGTTCAAACGATTAAATTCGCACCATTATCCCACTTAAGGCTTGCATACGCTGCAATTTCCACTTTACTTATCTTACCTTTAAAATGTTATTGGCTGGTACTTTTATTTTATTATAACTATTTTAACAAATTTTTATAATCGACTGGAAAAATGGAACGTTCTCAATTAGGTTGATATTTATATATTGTACTTTGCGATATGGAAATACTAATTCAGGACGTTTTGGCTCTTTCTCTTTATGTAATAATAATCGCTTATATTGTTAATTAGATCCTTTATTTGACTATTTGATTTACAATTATATTTGTTTATTAATTATATTTGCTTACTACGACTACACTACTACTATTAGAAACGAAAGAGAGCGAGCGGAGATCTAGATCGCGTGGTGGTGTAGATCATAATACATAATTATGTCATTGACGTACCAACTAACAAATACTAGAAAATTTAACCAGTATTCCGGTTTTTAAATTAATATGTTATACAATGCAAATCCACATAAATAAATGAAGTCCTTTTTTGTATATTACGATATAGCAGCATTTGTTAACAATCGTATTTGTTTTTTTTGTGTTACCAAATATGTGTACTTGAATAAAGTATATGGCATAAAACACGCGTCCATACGCTGGCACAAATAGTTAAGGAATGTGAAATGCTTTGTCTTGTCGAATAAAATGTACTATGTTGCAAGTAGAAATCATTGTCGGATGTAAACAAAATAAAGAAACAGAGGAAATGAAAGAACGACGAAGAAAATAGTCTTCAATTCGGAAATGGAAGGTACCAATAATTTCACTTCTTCATATAATGATCATTACATCTATCACCCGCATGACCATAAAAATACTTTTTTTATTTCAATGAAGATACTTGCTAATTATATAGAAATTTCATATTTTTTTCAGTAAGTAGTTTTCTTAGGTTTTTAAACTTTTTTGTTGTTAAGCAAGTTGAACTTCGTTTATTATAATAAATAACGTACTGTAATGAAAGATAATTAAAGTACGTTTGCATATCAAAAATTAACTGGTTTCACAGTTATTTATCTTTTTTACTTACGTGGCTATTCACTATCCCCTGATTATAAGTGGCAACCGACGCCCTCATAATTGAGTAGCACGACGGACTTCATTTTGTAATAGGTATCCTTGCTACTACTTATGCTTATGCATTCTGTAAGACTAAGATGTTCTGCCGCCCTACCCTATAATTTCAACTGAAATATAACTTACAAAGCAAGCTGCTTAGCGGCTGAAATAGGTAACACAACGTTTCAAATACAAAACGAAAAAGCAAAGTCTATATCATACAATCTTTTGTATCGGCATTCATTATAAAAGTATTGATTTACAATACACAAAAGGGTACCACCAGGAGTTTCCGAAATCTGCGTATTGGTAGTCGATTTTATCTACTACTTACACGTACTATTTACGATAGCAAATATTTAGGTAGAATACAAATGTACCTATTTTATACGAACAAAGTCAACATAAATGCTCGATAGGTGAAATCAGAGCAATTTTCTTTATTGATACCTATCATTATTCATAGTGAGAATTTTGTACCACCTGAGCAAATTCCGCCCGCATTCTTTACTGCATTGCAGTTATACGTTTAAATCGAGTCACAAATCTATTGAATTATTGGCACCAACATAACATTTATGATCTTATAAAAATATTAAAATTATGAGGTAATTTAATTAAATATTTTTTTATTTTATTCATCATACGATATTCCAAAACAACAAACAATTTATACAACTTTAAATATCCCATAATTAATCTTAAATTCTTATTACTATCACTCCAACTATTTTTAGATGAAACGTTAACATAATTAAAGCAAAGCGATAGATATCAAAACAGGGTAATGTTAAAAAAACATTGTTTAATATTATAATAGTAGTTGGTTTATAATTACCATACTATATTTATTATATGTACTAAGTAAATAATACAATACCATTCTAAAATATTTAATAATGAGTTTTGACTTAATTTCAGTAACATATGTACAGAATATGCACCATTCATCATCATCATCATCGCAGCCCGGAAGACGTCCACTGCTGGACATAGGCCTCCCCCAAAGATCTTCACGACGACCGGTCCTGCGCTGCTCGCATCCAATGCCTTCCAGCGATCTTGACCAGATCGTCGGTCCACCTTGCTGGAGGCCTTCCCACGTTGCGTCTTCCGGTCCGTGGTCGCCACTCGAGGACTTTACTGCCCCAACGGCCATCTGTCCTACGAGCTATGTGCCCTGCCCATTACCACTTCAGAGTCGCAATTCATGTGCATATGCACCATTATATATAGTATTTTTATAGTAAATATATATATAAATTGGTATACGTATAGTAAATATTTTGTCAACATATCTTTAATATCATCACGTTGGTCGGCAATAAATAAGAAAAAGCAATTTTGTTCATATTACGGTTTTGATGAATGGCATTCATGTTTAAGTATAACTAAAATTACTAGACACATACCTTCATAGAAGGCAATTTTGTTCTGATGCCTAGAAATGAAGGTATTATACTGTTTATTTATCTAGGCATGTACCTGATAATATTATGGAGTTTATTCACGTAAGCAGTTTGTATTTACAGATGCTTGTATTTCTTTTTAGGACAGATGAAATAATTATGTTGATTCGTTAGTTCATTTGTATTCTAGTCTAGATATACATAAGTTTATTATGTTAAAAATATCTATTGGAAATAGCAAATATTTAGGATGTAACGAAAACAGCAAATATATGTTATTTTGTTCTATTCATTTTGTCTAACAATAAGAAATATCTGCGTATAATACAATATTTACATATATATATGTATGTGTGCAAGAGGAGGCCCTTCATTATGGTTTATTTTATAATTTTATTTGCTAATATTTTTAATATTATTATACGGTTTTAAAAAAATGTTTATTAATTTTAAAATAAGAAGGATTGATCGCAACTTAAACTTTACTTCATTTACTTTTCCAATATGAAAATAAAAGACTGTTTAGTAATAAATACATAAATTGCAATCTTATAATGAAATTTTAAATAAACCATTCTATAGTTTTTCTTTAGACTTCATTATATGTTATGTTTTAAATAACAGTACTTACTAGGGTACATTTATACTTATTATGACTGTTAACGATTTTCCGATACTAATGTATATTTAACAAATCATTTTACAGGAATAACTTGTAATTTGAGGTGTGAAACATTCACAGAGCGCGACAAAGAGAATAAATGAATCCACTATTTCTAAATGTTACTATTACTACTATTTGAGACCTATAATTTACAAATGTCATGATGATGTGTTAAAGAATTAATTACATATTCATAGTTGTGTTGTAGAGGGTTATCACTTATTTTTAATTCTAAACCACAATTGTAACAACCTATTATAATAGCAGCTTTACCATATTAACTTATGACTGAACTTATTAATTAATTTAAAATATCAACCGATTTAAAGACATCGTTTTGACAGCATTTTAATTTGATGTGTGTTATGTTATTTTTATATATGTTATGTTATGTTGTTTTATTTTTATATAATTATATAAAATTTGTTTCTCTAGTAATATTGAAGACCGGATATAATTTAAAAGTAGATGTAATTATATTGAACCTTCATACACTTTTTTATTTTATATAATTTTGACAAAAAAATTATAACACATCTACATCGCGTTCAGTACATAATGATTTTTTTTATTCCAAGCCATCACAAAAAAAACACTAAATCTTATTAAATTGTAATATGGAGCGCTGAATGCAATGTTATTGTTCTATAGGTAAAGAACCTTTGTTTAGCAATTATGGTATCAAAATTGACAAACACACTCACTTTCATATTGATGTTATTAGTAAAGAGTTACCTAACTATTATCTTTCACTAATAATATATCACTAGTATTATATGTCACTAATACTGACTAATAATTAACAACACCCAACGTATTATTGTCAAACAATGACTACGTCGTATAATTAAAGATATATCATCAATAATGGATGACAAATAATTGTAAAATCTACGTAAATAACATGTTATCACAACCCTATAATAACAACAACATCTAGCCTTATAGAGAAACAATGGACTGAAAATCATACAGTTCATTCGAATAGGGTTTCAAAGCAAGCATCTATTTCATACAAAATAGAATCGTGTAATTTGGATTTAAAATGGAAGTACCTAATTTTGAGGAAATACTGAAACAAGTGAAAATTAATTTCTGGTTAATAGGCATACCGTTTAAAGATTCAAATATAAAAATTAGATACTACCTTTTCTTAATTTCGCTCATAATAATGCTTATAGCAGAATTGTCCTTTATAGTATGCATGGTTTCTACTGCAGACTTATTAGAAATAACTCTGTTAGTTCCTTGTAGTTGTATTGGTTTATTGTCACTGCTGAAAATAATGCCCATTGCAATAAAAAGGAAGAAAATATTCAAATTAGCAGACTGCTTAGACAATTTATATCGTGATATATTAAATAATACACGCAATGTAGAAATCGTAGGATCCAAAATAGTCGGTTTAAAAAAAATAATCACCTATTTTTTCGTTTTGAATGGCGTTCTCATTGCTGTGTATAATTTTTCAAATCTAGCTTTAATGTTTTATGAATATATTACAAATAAAGAAGTGAAATATCATTTATCTTATGCAGTAATTGTACCATTCAATATAGAAATATTTGGTACTTGGTTCTTCGTTTTCGTTTTCTCGTGTATGAATGGTAAGATGTATGTAATATCTAATCCAGCCATGCAAATGAAATAACATTATCTTTTTTCACCGAATAGATAGTAAATGTTATTAGAATTTGACGTATACAGATACGACAGATAAATTACATTAAAAAAATAAAATGTGTGTTGTTGTTATTTGGGTGTATACTAATAGAATTTCATGTTGTTTTACATTATTTGTTTATAAGGTATATGTTTAAAATGTATTGAAATAACTTAAATTTACAATTATAAATTTAATTGTTTTTTATTAAATGCATTTAAATTTTTATTGCAATATTACATTTATAGGGTATATATGTGTTGTTTTCTATACAACTGTTGACGCCTTATATTGCATCTTTACCTCCCACATCTGTCATCATTTTACACTAATAAGTGAAGAAATTAAATGTTTGGATACTAATAATGGTGACAAATTAAGAGAGCTTGTTAATAATCATCAATATATATTAAAGTAAGTTTTTATATATGTAAAATGAGATCTTTTTAATATCGTGAAATTTGAATTTCTTATTAACATAAATTTAAAATAATTAGTCGTTTTATAGATATTTGTTATTAAAATTAAATACATATTACTTTAAAAAATAGTGCGTAATATCTAATGATATAATTATTCGTCATAATATTATGATGATGCGTGTTTTTATCACAAATTATAGTTATATGCGATAAATGCTTCTAGAGAATAGACAATAAAACCAAGATTAATTAAATTTGTATGTAATTAATATTTTACAGATTATCTGAAGATTTGGAGGATATTTTCAATTTACCTAATTTATTTACTGTCTTACTGGGATCAATTGAAATCTGTGCGCTAGGTTTCAATTTGACGGTGGGTATTCCAAGTATTCATTAACTGTTTTCACATTATTTTTATATTTAGTATTGCACATGTGAATTCCATGGAAATATTTGTAGATAATATTTAGGTAACTGATATTAGATAAATAAATCACTGAAAATTTCTCATCTATGTACAACATATTGTTGCACAAACATGCACATGTCCTTAGCTAATAGAATAGTATCTGATAGAAATACCCAATTATTATTAGGTTTTTTAGAAAAAAAATTAGTTCGGTATTAATTAGGTTATTACCATTAAGATATATCAATACTTTATAAACAGTATTGTATGTACATAATCAAACTAGAATTACCATCAATATTATATCATTGGTTTTTTTTTCTGAACACAAAAAAAGTTCCCATCCTACTCGTTATGTACGTCGCACTACATAAATGTGTTTGATATCGCAAATATTATTACATATATACCTTGCTCTTGAATCACTGTATCTATTTCTGAAAACTACGTTAAAATACGTTGCGTAGTTTAAAAGATCTAAGCAAACAGACAGTGGGAACGACTTTGTTTTATACTTAGCAAAGATTATAAAAAAAACTATTATATACTATAATTAAGATTTTTTTAACAAAAATCAAATGTAAATTATTTTTAAATAAAGAAATAGATTCCTCCTAATAAATACAATACAACAATTAATAAAACAAATATTTTAAAATTCTTCCAATCCTACCAAAATACTATAAATGGATTGATTTACAATACATAAAAGGGTACCAGGAGTTTCGAAATCTGCGTATTGGTACTATACCACATTTTCCCACGAGGCGACTAATTCGGTATATTAAAAAAAATCAAATATTTCAGATGGGTACCTGGAGTCAATTGCCGGGTTGTGTTTTATTTCTCGTATCAGTTCTCTTACAAATACTAATGATGAGTTATTTCGGTGAAAATATTACAAGAGAGGCAAGTAAATAATTTTACAACATATCATCATCACAAGTACACGTCGTAAGTAGGTAAAGCTTAACGGAAAAACCTAAGACAAGTTCTAAAAGTAAAAAGTCGTCGGTACAATATGTGCGACTCAGTCTGAGTAGTAGACGACTTTTTATTGACTTTTTAGTATTAGAACTTGTCTCAGATTAGCTGCCAAGAAGGTTGGTTTAGAAGCTGTGTTTTGGTTGTAGGGTGTATAGTAACTATTGAAATTACATGATATGAGACATAACGTCTTAGATCTCCTTGAATGGCAACAAGAATAAATGGTATCGCGAGCTTAACTTGATATCCGTAATGCTATTCATGTATATAAGTTACGGTTACCGCTTAGCAACAGATGGGCTTTCAGCTCGTTTGCCATTGCCATGCAATACACAAAAATGGTGATCTTAGGTTAAATTATGAGTATTTGGAGGGACATCTCTTTATGAGGACACTATAACTTCTTTCTCTTATTATATATAATTTCAGAGCAATGGAGTAGGCGAAGCGACTTTCCTTTGTAAATGGTACGACATGAATAAAATTGAAAAACAAAACATATTAATTATAATGACAAGGTAATTTCCTTTATTATCTTTGGTAAGTATATCGTTACGTTATACTAATAATGTATTTAATCCGTCGAATTTTTTCGTTATTCAATCTGATATGGGATTGAAAATATATGTGTTTGTTGAGCCCATAGTTCATGTTCATATATCGTACATTTGGAATCTAATCTAAATTATCAAAGTCTAAATGATTGACATAAGCTTTCAAGCAAAGGCGATTTTGGTAGTGTCCCAGTGTTTTACTCCCAAATTGTCTTAGAAACACAGATTCAAGTGAATGCCTTGATAAACAGCTGGTATAATATATTTTTACAGATCTCACAAGCCCGCCCAGTTAACTGCTTACAAATTTTCTATTATTTCATATGCAAGTTTCATGAAAGTGAGTATCGAATATGATTTTTTATTAAGCTCTAATCAGTGGTTTAGTCATGAAAATGTAACAGGAAAACAGGCTGACACATTTTAATATATGTAACTTTAGTATACTGGACCACATAATGGTCTAGTCATTATTTCGTTCGAGCCACTTCTGTATATACCATTTGACGGGACCACCATTCTAATCATTGTCTACAAAAGAGGTACACTATCACCATGAACTCAACATAACGCATGACTTGCACTAGATGTCAAAGTACGTAACGAGGACATCGTCATATCAATTAAAAATTACAACTTCATATTATCTGATAATTACCGTAATCACAAAATAATATAGTCGAAAAACACTACTTTTTATCTGATCTGATACTGCATATCAAATTGAATGAAATACGTGTACTAATTTAATGATAATATTAAGTAGGTATCTGTTTATATAATATACAATTATGAGTAACCGAACAATACCGTGTAGCGTGTGGTGTCGCTGTAAGAATAGCACCACCCCCTCTCTTCCCGTGGGTGTCGTAAAAGGCGACTAAGGGATTCATCGACCAGTGGACGGGCAGCAGCGTCCTACTGAGTACCTACCATCATACTGCGATCGCCAACCCGCATGCCAAGCGTGGCGATTATGGCAATATCCCCCCAAATGAATTTACACCCAAGGCCCCGGCCCCCAGTCCCCGGCGGCCCCGCTAGTCTTGACCATGGTAGCGGTCATGGAAACGGCGGGGCAGGGGGTGCGAAGAATCTCCGGGTAAGACCAGGCTACCACAAACGACGACCACTGGCCCTGGCAACATACAACGTTCAAACACTGCGGACCGACGAAAAGTTAATTGAACTGGAGGAAGAGTTGAGCAGATTGCACTGGCATGTCGTGGGATTATCTGAAGTCCGAAGAAAGGGGGAGGACTCGATAGTCCTGAAATCCGGCAATCTGCTTTACTTCCGGGAGGGCGATCAACTGTCCCAAGGCGGTGTCGGGTTCCTCGTCCACAAGTCCCTTGTGAATAATGTTATCAAGGTCGAGAGCGTGTCGACTAGGGTAGCGTACCTGATACTCAGAATTACCAAACGGTATTCATTGAAGGTCATCCAAGTGTACGCTCCAACTTCGACGCACTCCGACGATGAGGTTGAGGCTATGTATGAGGATATCTCCAGAGCCATACATAGTACAAAGACTCATTATAGCGTTATCATGGGGGACTTTAACGCAAAATTGGGCAAACGAAGCGGTGATGAGCTGAGAGTGGGGCAATTTGGTATCGGTGATCGGAACTTCCGAGGTCAAATGCTGGCCGACTTCATGGAGAAGGAGAACCTCTTTATGATGAACTCCTTCTTCAGGAAGCCGGAACACCGGAAATGGACGTGGATTAGTCCCGATGGTGCCACAAAAAACGAGATAGATTTCATCTTGTCAACGAGAAGACAGATTTTCAATGATGTCTCTGTGATCAATGCCGTCAAAATTGGAAGTGATCACCGGATTGTAAGAGGCACATTGAATCTGAATCTGAAACTCGAACGATCCCGACTGATGAAATCTACGCTCCGCCCTACACCTATACAGATCCAAAACCCCGAAAGCTTTCAGCTAGAATTGCAAAACCGTTTCGAAAGCCTTGGTGACTGCGTTGACGTGGACGATTACAACAACAGGTTCGTGGAAACTGTCCGTGCGGCTGGGTCTAAGCACTTCAAAACCCGCCGCGCAGAAAGAACCGGAAAAATATCTATCTCTACCCTCAAATTGATGGATGAAAGGCGAAGTATGGTCCTGCAGTCTCCGACTGACGCTTCTCAGTATCGGCAACTTAGCAGGCAGATCTCTAAGTCCTTGACTCGTGACTTACGCCACTTTAACACAAATTGTGTAAAGGAGGCTATTGAGAGAAACAAGGGCTCAAAAGTCTTTAACAGGGATCTGGCTGCCGGACAGAGCCAGCTGACGCGACTTAAGACGGATGACGGCAGGATCGTTTCGTCTAAACCCGAGCTTTTGAGGGAAATTGAGAAGTTCTATGGACAGTTATACACGACAACACGGGCACCTGTTAACAACATGGCGAAAGACCCTAGAGCCAAATTAACCCGACACTATACCGAAGATATCCCGGACGTCAGCCTGTACGAGATTGGTATGGCTCTTAAACAACTTAAAAACAACAAGGCGCCGGGCGATGATGGAGTTACTGCTGAGCTTCTGAGGGCTGGAGGTAGACCTGTTCTACGAATCCTCCAGAAGCTATTCAACTCCGTCATCCTCGAGGGCAAAACGCCTCAAGCATGGCAAAGGGGTGTGGTGGTTCTGTTCTTCAAGAAGGGAGACAAATCGCTTCTGAAGAATTTCAGACCCGTAACACTGCTGAGCCATGTTTATAAGTTGTTTTCGAGAGTCATCACGAATCGTCTCGCGCGCAGGTTTGACGACTTCCAGCCTCCCGAACAAGCCGGGTTCCGAAAAGGCTTCAGTACCATAGACCACATTCATACGCTGCGGCAGGTAATTCAGAAGACCGAAGAATACAACCTGCCACTTTGCTTGGCGTTTGTGGACTATGAAAAAGCCTTTGATTCGATCGAGACGTGGGCTGTGCTACAGTCTCTCCAGCGGTGCCAAATTGACTATCGATATATCGAAGCGTTGAAATGTTTGTATGAAAACGCCACTATGTCAGTTCGCCTCCACGACCAGAATTCGAAGCCTATCCAACTGCAGCGAGGTGTCAGACAAGGCGATGTCATATCGCCAAAGCTGTTTACCGCTGCGTTGGAAGATGTCTTCAAGCTTCTGGACTGGAGCGGGCTGGGCATCAACATTAACGGCGAGTACATCAATCACCTTCGATTTGCCGACGATATCGTGGTCATGGCTGAGACCCTGGAAGACCTTAGCAAAATGCTCGAAGACCTCAGTAGAGTCTCACAAGGAGTAGGTCTTAAAATGAACATGGACAAGACGAAAATTATGTCAAACGTCCATGTCGTACCTGCTCCCGTAAAAATCGGAGATTCTACACTCGAAATTGTCGATCACTACGTATACTTAGGGCAAACTATCCAGCTAGGTAGATCCAATTTCGAGAAAGAGGTCAATCGTCGAATCCAACTCGGATGGGCAGCGTTCGGGAAGCTCCGATATATCTTTTCGTCCAAATTTCCGCAGTGTCTCAAGACGAAGGTTTACGACCAATGTGTGTTGCCAGTGATGACTTACGGAACAGAGACGTGGTCGCTAACTATGGGCCCCATCAACAAGCTCAGAGTCACTCAGAGGGCAATGGAGAGGGCTATGCTCGGAGTTTCTCTGCGTGATCGAATCAGAAATGAGGAGATCCGCAGAAGAACCAGAGTGACCGACATAGCCCGAAGAATTGCGACTTTGAAGTGGCAATGGGCAGGGCACATAGCTCGTAGGACAGATGGCCGTTGGGGCAGTAAAGTCCTCGAGTGGCGACCACGGACCGGAAGACGCAGCGTGGGAAGGCCTCCAGCAAGGTGGACCGACGATCTGGTCAAGATCGCGGGAAGGCATTGGATGCGAGCAGCGCAGGACCGATCGTCGTGGAGATCTTTGGGGGAGGCCTATGTCCAGCAGTGGACGTCTTCCAGGCTGCGATGATGATGATGATGAACAATACCGAAACTAAACTAAATAATCGAACAATAATACTATAAACGAGTAACATTTGGTTAACTTGTACTACCATCTCTTCAAGTCCCGTCCGATCAATCCGCCGTCCAATTCAAGAAAACATTTTTCAAGTATATTTGTAATAATAATGAAGATGTGAATCTCGATGTATTAAAAGTGTCATTCGGGTAATACCAATTTATATTGAGATATTTTTTATGTCATCACCGTTTTGTTTCAGATTATAAGCACATCGTGGTCCTACTTTACGATACTGAAGACTGTATATAAACCGGATATTAAATAATGATATTTTTTTATAAATTAAACAATTTATAAAAAAGTAAAGTTATTTCTCTGTAGGATTAAATACGCAGGAGACTCATCACGCATTAACAAATAGTTCATACTACACCCTCAATGCAAGAAAACACATTAAACTCAGCGGATTTTAAAATGCAAATCTAATTTTGATTCCTATAAAACAACTTTCTTTGATCCACAGAACAATATGTGAATTTATTTGTTGATATCGTGTTGATTTCATTAAGTTTACAACTAGTTGTAGAAACAAAAATAAAAATTGAAATATGTTTATTCATTTATTTATTTTTTAATTCAATCACATTGAAGTAATTATAATTCAACTTCATTTAAAAAGGATATCTTCTGCCAGTGTTCACACGGTAGAAGCCAGATCTGAAAAAAATAATAGAACATAAGTCAAATGTGATGACAACAATGTTTAAAAAATACTAATTGTGGAACAATGTTATCCCAGGTCTGAAACCAGGACGATATTGTACAATTATTTTATTAGTTTATTAGTAAAGACAAATTGAGCCAAAAAAATATAAATTGGCATGTATCTGCATTTTCCGACAATCTGTGATCTATCATTAAACTTAATCAGTTTATCTGATATTGTAATTCGAGAAAACGATGTCATTAATGAAGTTACGGTCTGTAATATTGCAATTTTAATTTAAAATCATACTAATATTTTGTGTAACTAATAAGAAAAGAAAAAATAACTGTATGGCTTACCCAGTTTTGTTTAAGTCGTCATTGCCCAGAGGGAAAGGAGGACCACGGCATGAGTTGAGAGTAACTTGCAAGCTGCTTTCACATTCAGTTCCTGTAAGATGGTTGTATGTGACACTAGCACCAAACAGTTCCCAGGAACGATCATGGTCGCACAAGAAGGTCAGACAACCAGGCTGGGACCTGCCACCGTTGGGGAAGAAATCAACGTTGGCAACAATGTCGCCAATTCCAAGACCATCGACTCCACCGTTGGTATGGATAGCCTCAACGTAGACACCGTCGTTTTCAGTGATCTTGTTATCATTGTATATCCATAGAGGACCAGCAGGGTCCAAACCTGTATAACGAAGAATTAATTAATAAACGACACTTATAGATATCGTAAAGAAGTAATATTATTTTACACCAGTTTCTGAGAATATGTAAGAAGTAAGTAGACACTACTAACCAGTAACGCGAGCCACTCTTCCTTCGAGTTCCCTTCCAGCGTTGCCCACAATATGTGCACCCAAACTGAAACCGGCCAGATGGATGGACTCATAAGGGATACCAGTTACAGAGATGAGGAAACGGACGAATTGTCCCAAACCAACACCAATATCTGGTACTCCAATAACAGCGGTTACGTAGTTAGACAAAGCCAATCGTCTCCAGTCCAAGACAATTACGTTGGCGGGGCCTTTGCCCAAATACGCTGAAAAGAAATTATCAAATTACAGTTTGTGCTAATAATACTCTATCGCATAATCAAGAAATCTAAAGTGAGCTTTAGTGTTAACGACTCTTTTATTTTCATGTAACATATAACAATTGTAAAATATCAAGCATTTATTTATACGGATAAGATATAAAGTTTACCATCTCTGATAGCTGGGTTGATACCGGCATCCTGACCGCCGAGCCATCCGTGAACAACCACGATGGTGTTGTCTTCAGGGTTGAAGTTTGAGTTCAGAATAGATTCAGAATTGTTGATGATCAAAGTTTGTGCCTGGGTAGGATTATTCCTGTAAAAAATAACAATATTTATAATAATTATAAGTTAATTAATAAATCACACATTGATTTCGTTAATACGCATGAAGGTCCTTTCAGTTTCTACAAGGGGCGTTGGTATATATCGTCTTTATACGAAATAGTATAAAACTAGTAACAGATGAAATTAATTTGATTATATGTTTTTCACGAATGTGATAATTTACTCACCTGGTGAACAACAAGTAAAGATTGTTGGCGGGGTCTCTTTGGATTTCTTCTAAGAGAGCGTGATCAGGCTCGGCTTGCAAATCAGCGATATGCGGTAAACCTTCGCCATCGGGGAAGGTCACAAAACGAGGGTACTGTTTAAAGTCCTCTTGGGTAGGTACGGCAGACGCCAGGTACGCTAAAAGTGTTAATGTAATTGAGTATAATTAAAAACAAACAAATTTAGAAAAAACGAAATCTTTTATGCATTAATTATCATTTCAAAAATGTTTTAACAATATTCTAGTAGAACAGGAACATTTACCGAGTTAAAGCTACTAAAATTATTTTATTAGTTTTAACACTACAATAGTTAGAGGTTATAAAATAATCATAGGTAATTCAAATTTTGTTTCTATTATAAAATACGACATATAGACGTTTTATGTATAAGTTAAAAATTATAATTTAATATATTGAATTTAAACTAAACTAAAAGTAGCAATATTTTTTATAGTGAAAACCATAAAGTGATAATAGTTAATTAATTATAAAATGATCATAGTTAATTCAAATGTAGTTTCTGCCATAATGTACAAATTTTAGACAGTCTGACTAAAAGTCAGACATTATGGGATATTTTAATTTCATTACATACCCGAAGCGATCACACACAACAGCAACGATGCCTTCATTATACTTTAGTAACAAATCACAGTATAACTAGTGCAAATTACATTGCCTTATATATCATTTGCTTAAACTATTAAGCATCTATCTTATCAGAAGAGATAGTTTCCTGTTGATACGTCTTGTGATCGATATAAATTATTCATTATTAGAATTAGAAGTATAGTGATAAATGTAATTCTGTCTGTCTGTTTGATATTCGCAAGTGATATGATTTTTATGAAATTTACTATTGTTAATGTATTAAATTAATTTTCTTACAACTTGAGGAAAACATTTTATTTTTGTATGTATGTAATAATAACTGTAAATTATAATTATGTAGAATAAGTAGGTAAACAAAGTTGCGAATTAAAGTTTTCTTCGTCTTCCTGTTAGCAATAAATATTCCGTTAATAGATTCTTAGATAAGTTACGTATACGTATATACGTTTTAGATACTATAATTGAAATGAAATTAATCCATTGTAATAAAGCAGCCTGTGCCAACTTCGGTCGAGTTGAAGTTGAAGTTGTTGCCTATATCCATCTGAAATTATGTATCTTCAAATAGTCACACTACCATCCTGAACCAAGCAATCGAACACGAACCCTTGATTGCGCTCCGTGTGACAGAACTCAAACATATCACTCATTCAACAGAAAATACCAAATACAAATGAAACAGGAGGAACAAGATCAATCTGCAGTAAATAAACTACGAATATACACCGATGGCTCCAAAACAAAAAACAGTTCAAGAGCTGGAACACACTCCCTTGACCTCAACATGAACATATACATACCTCTCGGTAAACACAGTTCGTTTTTCTAATGTGAATGTGTTGCACTGACTGAGGCAGCAAGAGCCGTATACAATATAAAATTCATATCGGACTGTGCAGCCGTGTTAAAAGCACTACAGAACAGGAAATTCAACAACCAATTAATAATCGAATGTCACAATGTCATGGATAAAGTGGCAATGCACAATGCTGTAACTATCCAGTGGATAAAAGGGCACAGTGTATCATATGGGAATGATGTCGCGGATGAGCTGGCGAGAAGAGGATCGGGCATAGTGAAAGTAGGGCCCCTCCCGCTTTTGCCATTACCCTTCTCACAATTTCGATCCTGGATTCGCCAAAGATCATAGATACATAAGCAAAGATGGAAACAAACCACCGATTGCAAACAATCAAAAGTGGCAATTCCTAAAACGAACCAGCGATTGACAAAACGGCTACTAAATCTGAACAGGGATAACCTAAAAATAATGATAGGGATAATAACGGGCCACTGTCCCTTAAACAAACATCTGTACATAATAGGTGCTACTGACAGTCCCTTGTGTTGGTGCTGCTTTGTATCCGAGGAAACGGCTGCTCACGTAATCCTGAAGTGCGTAGCAGTCGCCACACAACGTAATCAAATCCTCGGAACGGTGAGGTCGCTCCATGAAGTCTGCAAAGACACCAGGAGACTTCTGCGCTTCTGGGAAGAGCTTGACTGGCTACTTTAGTAGCCTCATGCACAACGGCCCAGATGCGAGGCCAATTGCGGAAACTGGAGTCCAACTTACATTACATTACATTACAACTGTGCCTAGTTTGAACTAGATGATACTGTGTAAATTATCCTAGATTATTGTTATAATTCAATAAATAGTAAACAATTACTAACCGATGCATTTAATTAACTTTATACAACCGAGATCTAAACATCTTGTTAAATAAGTTTCGTAAAAAAATAGTTGAAATCCGTTCTCGCCTTAAGTTACAAAACAGATTTATTAGATTTGGAGTTCATTTATTATTTATAAAGTTTGTAAATATTTTAATAACAAAATAATCAATAGCTTATAGATATTATAAAAACAAAATAATCAATATGCCAGTAATAATCAGCTTGTAGATATTTAGATCTTTGACATTATTTGTCACACTTTTTTTTATGAAAATAGAATAGCAAATTGTTTACAGCCCACCTGATATTTTATTTTTTTTTATTTATACTCTTTATTGCACCAATTACAGAACAAAAACAAAAAAAAAAAAAAAAAACATCGCATTATCGCTAAGCAATCTCTTCCAGACTACCTTTGGGTGGATAGAGAAATAAAAATAAGAACAGGGTAGGTGGCGCACGTAATAAACAAAAATAAATATATATGACTCAAATATACATAAATATAAACATACACACACATTAATACATATATACATACACATACATATACTTAATAGTGCACATACATTCGGAAAGAAGAGATATATAAGAGACACACATACATTTGGAGAGAAGAGATAAGGAGAATAATAAGAAATTAATTAAAGAGATATAAAATGGGATTTGACAGAGGATTTAAAGCTGGCAAGCGATTGAATGCTCCGAATGCTAGAGGGC